CATGCCATTGGTACCCTTCTTCTCTCCAGAGGAGTTGATTGAACACATACCCAGAAGTGTGTGCAGCAGAGCAGACAAGGTCATTCAGGTAATGGTGGGGGGAGGTTTGCTACTTTCAATGGCGGGAACAAGAAAATGAGCTGCAGTTGATCTGAAGTAGTCAGAATTTTACTCACAAATTGTCCTTTGGACTGTTTCCCCCTGCCCACATCATAACACCCCCCAATCACAGGGCTCCATCTTCAGAGCAGGAACTGTCTCTTCCTCTCTGCTTGGAGAGAGTCTGGAACAAATTAGGCACCACCGTAATCTTAACAACTGGTTCCGCATCCACTGTTGCATCAAATTCAAGCTTGTTATCACCACAGTCAAAGCTAACTCTGCCCTTGACACGAATTGCTGTAGATTCTGATCTCACATCTTAGGCAGACAAACGTGTACTTTCAATACATGACGGATCACTCTGCCATAGTAGCTATTTATAGCATATGCTAGCTAGGCTTCATTTGTCTCCCACCTCTCTGCTTCATCGCTGCTATCTCTTTGTTAACTCTTTGTGGTGACCTCTGTCCTGATTAGAGTTCAGGACAAACTGTGCTGCTCAGTAGTACATCTTGACCACCTTCAGCCTACAAGAGGAGGATGAATTATCTTCTCCAGTGCTAATGGAAACATCAAAACCTTGTGCAGCATGTTCCATCATAATAGATCAATCTCATAAGAGAGCTAAGGAGGTCATGACTTCTCTCCTAAGACTATTTGGAGACCACGGGATTGCTAATGATGCACAACAGCCCTATGCTTGTCCTCAACCTGGTGTAGCCGTGAAAAACAGGAAACTGCTTCCTTCTGGTGAGGGTGAGGCTGGTGAGGGAACCTCTTGGGCACCTCACAGTCCAAGAGAACCACCTTAAAATTGCTCAGGTCAGAATAAATAGTCAAGAAAATACTGACTTAGCTCACACCTGTGTATTTGTGTTTACCAAAGGTGACCCTACTGCTCCAAAACAAATAGGCAAATTCAAATATTTCTACCCTCAGGATCTTTTTAAGAATAATAAAACAATGTCCTACATTTTCAGAAGTAACTAGTGATTTTGGGTGCCTCAATTTGCCTGACTTGAGACGCTCTGAAGAGGCCTGATTTACAGGGGGAAGGAACTCAGCACTGATGCAAACCAGACCTCATTAAAGGGTCTAAAGTGGAACACCCCAAAACGGAAGCATTAAAAATCACTAGTTATTTCTGAAAATGTAGGGCAATGTATTTGGTGGATTTGTATAGTACTGTAATTTTTTTCCTGTGTGCTCCTCTTTTGTTACCTCTGCACTGAAAAAATACTACTATAAATAATAAATACTTAGCATTTATATATACCTGCTGACATATTTACCCTACACCAGCTACAGGAGAAAGCTGCTGAACAACAAATGCCCCCCTATGTTGTCTTTCTCGATCTTAGAAAGGCATTCGACTCTGTCAGACACTCTGCTCTCCGGTGCCTTCTTACGAAGTTTGGCTGCCCAGACAAAGTAATCAACCTTATATGCTGCCTCCATGACAACATGCAGGCCCATGTATCACTGGGGCTAACTCATCTGATCCCTTTCCTGTAGCCCATGGGGTTAAACGGGGCGGTGTCCTTGCCCCTACGTTATTTACTTTGTTCTTAGCTGGAGGGCTAGAAGTCGCTGCACGTACCACCGCTACGGGTGTCACTCTAACAACATGATTCGATGGCAGACTTCTAGCTTCGAGGCCAAAAGCAAATCCCAGCAAAGTGAAGTAAAGGATCTACTGTATGCTGACGACTCAGCGTTTGTCGCCCCTTCCGAGAATGACCTGCAACATTTGCTGAATTCTTTTGCCCATGCTGTATCCCCCTTTAGCCTCTGTAATAATGTAAAGAAAACAGAAATCCTGTACCAACCGTCTCCCGGCAGAAACCCATGACCGCCATCACCACCAGAAATACAATGGAACAGCTGCCAATTAAACAATGCCAAGTCCTTCTGCTACCTAGATAGCCCAATTACTGACAACACCAGCATTGACAAAGAACTTTCTGCATACGTAAAGTCCGCTGCCTCAGCCTTCAGTCATCTACAAAAAGAACTATAGACAAGACGGAAGATCAAAGTGTCCACAAAATGTCCACAAAGTTTACAGAGCTGTTGTGCTCTCTGGTCTTCTATAGTCGTTAGAGACCTGCCCTCTTTACTGTCGCCATATCCAAAAACTTAACTGCCGGCAACAATGCCACCTACGCCGCATAATGGGTATCAAATGGTCTGACAATAATCACCAACATGAAGTACTACGACTGGCTGCCATGCTAAGTGTGGAAGCCATGCTAGCAGGGAGGCAAATGACCTGGGTTGGCCATGTCATATGGATGGGTAACAATTGACTACCTAAGTGAATCTGCAAAAGGCAGTAGGAAGGTTGGCTGTCCCAAACTCCACTACTAGGATTGCATCAAGAAGCCCATGCAGTCTACTGGGCTGGTCTTAATGACTTGGGAGGATACAGCCCAGGACAGCCGAACTTGGCACTCTGCTACAAAGGAAGCAGAACGAGCAACAGAATATCGTCACGCTCTCTTGGCCGACAGTTGGAGAGAAAGTAGATGCCAGCTTGCCCTGGTGTGTCTCCTGAACCCTACATGTGGAAACTGATTTCCCGTAGTAGTCATACTCTAATATGAGCAGTAGTCAGTATATGTACCTGAGGCTTTCAAAGCATCTTACAAAGCTGAGTAAATATTTTATTACCATTTTACTGCTAGGGAGAATACAGAAGTAGCTTTAAGTTGGGAACAGAACCCAGGTCTCCTGCCACCCCAACCTGCTCTAACCACCAGACAATTCTTCCTCTCATTCAAGAGGAAGAAGCACAGGGGAATGAGTAACCAGCTACTTCCTCAGTGAACAAGTGATTATCCTTTCATTTCTTTAATTGCCCAATCAGTGTTAAATCAAGCAATGAAATCAAGACAATCAATGTGAAATTCAACTTTAAAAACATCCTTCAGTTTGTATATATGAAAAAAATCATAAATAAACAGATTAATCTGTGACAACTCTGTAAGGGAGCATATCTGAGGGGGAGAATATTTTCACAGCCCAGTCTCAGGCCAGATCACAGAGGGGAATCTATCAACAATTTGGAACAATGGGGTGGTTCCTCTGCTATGCTGATTTACATCAGCTGAGGATCTGGCCCAATAGCCCCTGGAGAATGTATCTTGCGCTTTGGAGAAAGGGAAAAGCTTGACAAATGACTGGGTAGGGAATCTGTTATAGGATAAGGAGCTTTTCACTTAAATCAGTAGTTCCCAAACGTTTTGGCTATCTGACCCCATTTTGACACTTTATTAATTCTTGCACCCCCCCCCACCACAGGCAGCATGGAGGTCGCCATTTTGTAGAGCAAAATGGCATCCTCCACACAGCGTGACCACACCCACACTATCCATGTGAGGTCATGCCATGTGGAGGACCCCATTTTGTTTGTAGAGCACACTCAGGATTGCAGCCCCCTTCTGCTGAAAGTGCTACCCCACTTGGCACCGCGAGCCATAGTTTGGGAAGTGCTGATCTAAAATGGTTGCTGGCTTGAACCCAGCCCTAGTTTGCAGTAACTGGAATGAATTTGTTGCATCTCAGCCTATCTCCTAGTGGAGAAGTGTCTACCACACAAAATTTGCCATCACAATATGCTGACAAAGTTGCCAAAAATTTCAGTCTTAACACAGAGAAGCATGAGGACTCTCAGCACCCCTACTATAAAAATTGTTCCAGCATCCCTCCCCCACCCCAGCCCCAGCCGCAGGTCCGCTCCACCCCATACTCTGGCCCCAGCTCAACTCTGTCCTCATTCCCTTTCCAGCTCCAGACCAGCTCCACCTCTAGCCCCAGCCCCTGCTCATCCCCAGCTCTGCCGTCAGCCTCCTCTGCTGAGTCAACTGTGCGGTAATGGGGCCTGGGGCACGGACAGATTGCATTACTGGGGGGGGGGGGGGGAGGCCAAGACAGGTAAAGTTTGGGCACCATTGCCCTACGGTCAGAGGAAAGAGCTAGGAGAACGAGTTGAGAGATGGAACTGAATGGACCTGAACTTTTGCTCAGTGCTGGAGATGCTGAATTTTTCGATCACTGTTATTACTTGTTTCAGAGCAGCAGCCGTGTTAGTCTGTATCCGCAGAAAGAAAAGGAGGACTTGTGGCACCTTAGAGACTAACACATTTATTTGAGCATAAGCTTTCGTGAGCTACAGCTCACTTCATCGGATGCATTCAGTGGAAAATACAGTGGGGAGATTTATATTCACAGATAACATGAAAGAATGGGTGTTACCATACATTGTTTCATGTTCTCTGTATATAAATCTCCCCACTGTATTTTCCACTGAATGCATCCGATGAAGTGAGCTGTAGCTCACGAAAGCTCATGCTCAAATAAATTTGTTAGTCTCTAAGGTGCCACAAGCGCTCCTTTTCTTTTTGTTGTTATTTGGTTTTGTAAGTCTCTGCATTTCATTAGTTCTGCCCAGGACTGTGCAGGAAAGGCATTTCCCATAGTATTTGCAGCCTGATTAGAATGATACTTTGCCCATCTCTTGCACCTTCCAGCCAAGGATCTCAAAGCACTTTCAGTTACTGATTTTGTCCTCACAACACTTTTTAGACAAGCTCTTTGCCGCAGGGACCCGCTTTTTGTTTGGTGTTTGTACAGCACCTAGCATAATGGGGTTCTGGTCTATAACTGGGGCTCCTACATGCTGTGGTAATACAAATAAACAACAACAACATCCTTCTGAGATAGGTATCATCATCTCCCTATTTTATATGAGACACAGAAGACAAGTGACTTGCCCAAAGCCAGAGATACTGACAGAGCTCGGAATACGATCCAAGAGTCCTGATTCCCAATACCCTGCTCCAACCACTAGGCCATGGCGGCAATGGGTGTAGATGACTCAAGTTTTGTTGACTTACCATGTTGTGCTGCAAAAGGAAGTCAGGAAGAAACGAGAGCAATGGGGTATTACAACAAACATGGACAATGCAGTCCACCAGATGGTGAATGCTAATAGTCTGAAATGTGCACAAAGGAGCCAACGATCTATTAAGGAGATGCCTGGATCTTTCTTTGTCTGGATCGTTGACTTCAGTTCACAAATGTTGCTTATCTTCCAGACGAACGCTGTGTTGGGAGAAAAAACAAAAACCCAAAGGCCTCGAATGCAGTTGTGTAAGATTTCCAGGAAATCAATCAGCCAAACCAACCAACCAAGCAGATCAATTTTGAAGCAGAAAGATTTATTTTTTAACGAGTCCTTTAAAAAAAATGCAACAACAAATCTCCTCCCTGCAAATATCAGACCTGCCCAGGAAATGTGTTTCTGGCCTCTCCAGGCACTGCCGTTGTCACTCCCAGTGGGGAAGCAAACTAATTCAGCTCCCAAGTTTTCTATGAATGAATTGGACAGCAAAGCAATTAGAAAGGAAAGAATAAACCATTCATCCAAAAATAACCACTGAGAGACTAGCTGTTGTAAACACGTGTGTTCCCCACGCACACACATATACCTCCCCCTACGCACATATTGTCACAGACATTTAACTAATCTGAAAGAGCCAGAAAGACTATGAATCACTTGGATATAGTGTATACAGCCAGCTATAGATGTAAGCAGAGTCAGGATGAGTTCCACCCTGACATCTGGTGATGAGTTGTGGCAAGTTGTGGAAAAGAACTTCAGGGGCTGATCTCATTTGCATTTACACCCACCCCATAGCATGAGCCCATAGCTGCCAAAATGGTCATTTTGGCTGCTGTGGGATCCCCAGTTTCTCTGTTACTGGGGCAGGAAGAATAAATTGTTGTTATCCTGATTATGTGAATCAAAGACAGTGGAACTGTACTTGGCCTTTAGTTATGATGGAGGGACTTGCCATCAACTAAGTAGCACTCGCTAGGCGAGAGACATGGGTTCCAATTCTCAATGAATTGAGAGAGGTTGGGAAGAGGTATTAATACCTGGTGGTATGGGCCCCTACATGCCAATTGCACTTTCTTCTCACTCCACTGTGGAACATCAGGGCTAATTTTGATTCCTTTAGGAGTCTAGTTACAGGCTGCTGAGCTGAGTTCACTTTGGGCCAATGGTGCACCAGCACTGAGGCTCCCCTACTACAAGCTGAAATCACGAAAGAGCTAAACTTACTAAGAGCTGAAATCGCTGAGTGCTGTGTTAAGTAGTGGGGGAGCCTGAAGATACGTTGCAGAGCAGTTTGCGGGATGGCTGGAGCAGCTCATGGTGGGCTGGCAGAGCAGAGCGATTCGTGGAACGGCTGGCAGAGCGGAGTGGAGCCCCATGGAGAGGTGGGGCAATCGACTTCGGACCACGTAAGGTGCCCCTTACCCCTCTCACCTACACCCAGGTTGGGAGGTAAAACTCTGCAGATAAATTTTCGAACTCTGGGGCTGCACTGACCAGGGGCAGAGACTTTTGGGTTGTTGGACTTTTGGGACTTTGGGTGACTTTTGGGTTGCTGGACTCAAGAACCAAAGGAAAAGGACATGGCCCAATTTGCTTGGGGTGGGTTGTTTGCTCATGGGTTGTGTTATGAATCCTGTTGGTGGTGTTTCCCCAACATAATGCCACATTGTTTCTCTCTGTTATTAAAAGGCTTTTTGCTACACTCAGACTCGGTGCTTGCGAGAGGGGAAGTATTGCCTCTTGGAGGCACCCAGCGAGGGTGGTATATATTTGTCCCAGGTCACTGGGTGGGGGCTCGAGCTGGTTTTGCATTGTGTTATTGGAATGGATCCCCTAGATACTGAACCCGGCCCTTGTTGCAGCCAACTCTGACGGGCAGAAGGATTACAAATAATTGAATAGAAAAGATCTCTCCTACCCTTTTGACAAGTGGCCTCTGGTTTTGAGAGCTGAGGGGTTTGTGCCTACAAATCAGCCTGTGGATTGTATATTAGTGTCGCTGCTAATGACTTGATTGCACCCACAAGAGGTTTACCTGCATTTGTGGGGACAAAACTGCAGGTGCGACACTAGAGGCAGAAATGAGGCAATTTTGAAAATGAGGGCTATGATATAAAGTTTCAGTCCCTTCTAGAACAATGCTTCATCACATGATAAATTAAGGCTACAATTTAGTCACGGGTATTTTTAGTAAAAGTCATGGACAAGTCATGGGCAATAAACAAAAAGTCACGGCCCATGACCTGTCCATGACTTGTACTACATAAATATCCCTGACTAAAACTTAGGTGCTCTGGGAGGGGGGCTCCAGCGTGCCACTGCTGCCCCCCAAGTAGCCGCCCAAGTCACAGGGAGCGAAAACTCTCAGCACAACCAGTTTCCACGCACACAAATGCAGGCAGTAGTTTGGAAGTTTGGCCCAGAGAGGCAACTGCAGCAAGTCAGGGGAAGCTTGCTGCTCCCCCCTCTCCTCGACCCAGGATTCTAGGGTCGATAGGCCTTTAGAAGCCTCTGCCTCTCCCCTGGCTCAGACCACGCAGAACACATGGGCTGGGCCCGCCAACCTCCTCCCCCAGAGAATAGCCCACAAGGTCCCTGCTTCCCTGGACAAAATCAGAGAGAAGCATCAACAAGAAGGGCAGTGGGAGAAGCCAGGCCAGCTAGTCAAGCCCGACCCTTTCCCAGACCTCTGTCTCTCCCCAGAAATGAAAATTTTTATTTGGAAATGCTGACACATGAGAGTTGTATTTTGGGTGCCTCATGCCCCCATGAGGCGCCAGGCTTCCTGCCTGGCCTACATCTCCCACAAAACACCACAGTTGCTTCTCTTGCTGAGCACAATGGGAATCCCTGGCTGTGGTGCATCATGGGAGATGTAGTTCCACTAGGGAACCTGGCCTGTAAAGGAAAATGGAGGCATAAAGCAGTCAAACCAACACTCCCATGAGGCACTGCAGCAGCATTTCTGAATTAATTGTTTTGTTTTCTTTTGATGCATTTGGATTTTTTGAAGAAAAGTTGAAAATTTCCATGGAAAAGAGACACTTTTTGAAAAAAATAAATGTTTAGTTAGAAACTCAATTTTCTGACAGATTGAAAATTTTCTGTCAAAAATTTTCAACCAGCCCTGATAACTACTGCATACCTAATCCAAACCACTAGGGCCAAGCAGTGCAGCATCCTGAGCTGATCAGTAGGAGCCAGGTGCCACTCCAAACATATTTCTCTGGGGCTGTGCAAAATCGACACAGAAACAAAACAATGGGATGAGAACTCCAGGAAAAGAATTTTAAGGTGGAAATGGGAAGGAGAAGGAAGAGGAGGAGCCATGAATGAGCTTTTCACAGCAGGGGAGTAGGGTGTGGCGAGAGAGGAGAAGGGCTAGCCACAAAATCATACCAGTGGCAGCTTTTCAAAACTTTGCAGGAACCCCTCAGAGATATGTCCCCAAGGAGAGTTTTTCACATACACAACCCCCGAAAGCGGACAACTAGATATCCAGGCAGGCTTTTCCACTCCACTTCATATACACCTAGAGCAGCCATCAAATGAGTAACTTGCAGAGTGACCATGGTTCCTGAAAAGCAGCAAAGAGCATCTAGAGTCAGAAGATGATTCATTCTTGGCTCCAAAGCAAATGTTAACAGGAAATGACTATTAAGATCTGAAACTCTACCGGCGTCAGTGCCTAGAAAACTTGCATCCCAGCTGACTGAGAAAAAGCATCACTGGTTTGCTGAGTTGGTTTTCAAGCTTTTCTGTATTTTCCTGGCAAATAAAAAAAATAAATTTTGAGCAATTTTCTTTTTTGCCTTTTGAGCAAACACTGAATAAAAAACGGTTGAGTGAATGCCAGATAGCAAACATTGATGAGGACTTTCTTTATTACCATCACTGACATGCAGGGGCTGTTTGGAGAATGCCGTCTCTAAATAACATACAGCATCCTTGAGAAATGGTCCATGCAGCCACTCAATACAGCTTTGGGAGGATAAAAGCATGCAGATCAAGCTCCTTGTAGTTTCCTTCATCTGCATGTGGATCTGATGAGGGGAAACCCGAGAAGCAAATCTGTCATGGTTCTTCTAATGCACTTCCTCACAGTCAGGCAGTTCTGTGTTTATGAAACCGCAAGTGAGTTTCTTTGAGGTGTTTATTACTATCAGCACTCCTTAGATGTTGTGGCAGGGATGTGTGGATAATTCAGTCAGGACCCAATCCTCCCTCCCTGTGCAAAGCAAAAGTTAACAGGCTTGGGCTTTCTGTTCTGTTATTGCACAGGGGCCAAATTTTCCACCCACAAACTGGGGCGCTGCCCCTCCGCTACTATTATAGCCTCCACTGCCCCTGGGCTCCTTTAAGCAGAGGTATTTGGCTGCTTGATCCAAGTAGTTATGGTTCTACTGGTCATGCCAAGACCCTTCACTTTGCACCTAATGCATCTCCTCTGAGCTAGTGTTCAAGGAGCACAGTTCCATTCCATTCAGGGCTTGCAGCCTCTCCCTACGCAGACTATCTACAACTTGTCTCTCCCTCCCCTTCCCACCTGCAATGACACCCAATCACTCCACTGCCTTTCAGGACCTACTTGCTCAGGTGGGGAGGGGAATAGGATTTGTGAATAAAATAATGGTCTCTTCCCAATCTAGTGGGCAGCTTCCTGCCCACGCTGCATTCAAGGCCAGTGAAGTCCTAGACCCAAGAGGATATGGATGTTTCAGGAAATGAGAAATGGAATATTAAGCAAGAAGTAAATCACCAGTTCTAATCCAGTGACAATGACTGAAAGTTGTTACTATTTGATGAGTGTTTATTGACTTTTGCTAAACAAGTTGCTGGGCCACACAGGGGTCCAAAGCACAAAAGCCATGACACTGTTGCGTCTTTTGTTGGTTGTCTCAGCAGAAATGGGCCAGGAGACTGAATCCCTGCCTCCCCTCCCCCATCATCTCCAGGTTGTCTCTCGCGACCATGGTGGAGGCACATTGATGGAGAAGTGTGAAGAAGTTTGCCCTGCCAATGCTGCACCTGTTCTGCAAATAGATTGAGCCACCGAAATTGTGCCTGTATGATCTTGGTTCAATGTTAGAGTCTCAGGATGTGACCAGGCAATCAGAGTATGTTCCGATGTTGTAATGTCCCTATCTTTTTCTCCTCTGGTTGGGTGAGCTGTCCCTGGCCATTCCATTGGACAGTGAAATGGGTGGGGGATAGTGGGGGGTGGTATCTGGAAGCCCAGAATTTTTGCTCCCAGTTTTGCAATTAAAATAAGATGTTTATTAAGCTCACTTGTTATATTTCTAATTTTGCTCCTTACTCTGAGGGACAGATTTTCAATACCTAGGTGCCACATGGCAGGTGCAAAAACATATGGTGTATTGGGCTGTAATAGACTGGCTGAGGTTGTGTGATCATGTCTCACTCTAGTGGACAATCTGAAGAATTATACATTCCTCCTCTTATTCTGGACTCAGTTACTTCTTTAGCTTAAGTGCTAGAGATGCACGTTTAGATCTGTAACTACCAGAATGCTTGGACCATCATCAGAGTTTGAATTTGTGACCGTCTCAACTACAGGTATAAGCTTCCCCTGCTTAAATTAAAGGAGATATTCCCCTAGCTGACAGCCTGTAGTAGCCTTTATCTTCTTTTATCTTCTGGACCAACCACCAGAGAGGAAAAAGACTCCCATGATCAATGTGGGCTACATGTGCGAATGGCCAATTAGGCACCTAACTGGCCATCTGTGCATGCAAATATCCCATCTGCAGTAATGGTGCACACAAATTCAGAATGCAGCTGTCCCTCAGAATGCTGATATTTAGAAAATGAGACTAATTTGCAAGTGACCCAAACATAATAATAGTGTTAATATGTCCACTAGTCTACTTCTCCCCTGGGAAACACGAGGCACGATTTGAGACAACCACAGAAGGTACTTTAGTATTGTACTCTGCTTCTGGTCTATTTTACCCCAGATAAACACAATCAACAAAAGATAAACATTAATCAGGACTATAAAAGGGTTCTGGGTATATTAGTGTCCCTAAGCACACTAAGTCTTGGGATCAGAACTAATCTCAGAGAAAATAAACCATTTTATACAGAACTGGCTCCATCCTCCATAAATCCACACTTCATGCTTCCGATGTCACGGCATAGCCAAGGGGGAAAAAACCCACAAAACCAAATCTCATAGATACATCAAAAAAGATCAGCCAGCACAGGAAACAAGCACACATTTTACATCAGCTTGCATCAGGTTGCTAGGGACTAGGAAATCAACGTTGTTGCCATGGTGATGTCACTTCATCACCATTCAACACACAGATCAGATGAATGCAGCTAGAAGTGAATGTGCACAGGCCAGAATAAAAAAGACAGGGAGAAGGAAAGGGTTTCCCACCTCTGGGCAGTGGGTTTTGTAAGATCCCAGGGGATCTGTATGTTTACGTGGCTTTTTGGATCACTTACCAAGTAAAGCTGGGGAGAAACAGAGAGATGTGCTGTATCTTAGTTTTGTCTTCTATTTTATAATATTGCTGACCACAGCTGGGCCCAGTTCTCTCTGTTCTACTTCTGTCCCCTTGATGCTGCCTAAGTGGCTTGAAGAATCCAGAATCTGGCCACAGCTGGCTGGTTGAGGATTTGTCCCGTGTGGGTCTCAGCAGCCATAATGTTGGCAGAGCTAGCTTCTATGCCCACTCTCCCCTCCTCTCAGAGTAGGGGGCATGGCAGAGCAGAAGACCAGCCAGCTGGGGACGGATGCTCCACTTGCTAATTCCCAGCTGGTATGCAGTCCCTTAGGGCTCATTGCCATCTGTCATCAGTTACAGCAACATACAGGCTACTGTAACTTGCACTGGAGCAGGGAAAATTTGAGCACCAAGGAGTCATAACTGACTCCCTAACAGCCCTTCCCCAACTAGCTTTCAGCACAGGAGAGACTTGTCCCATGATCTTCACACACATGAGAACACGAGAGAGAACTCACAAGAATTTTAGCTGCTGAACAGAAAAAGGTCCTTATAAAAATATACCACTGAGTTTTACCGTCCTAAACACTGCAACTTAAAACAGTGTTCCTACTGGGCCAAACATGGAAGTACTTGCTTCATTTTTGTTTGATTTGTTCTCTGGCAAACTCCCGTTCATGTCAGTGGGGTTTTACCTGAGTAATAACTAGTAAAAAACTGAGCACAGACTTCAGGGATTTGGCCTCACTGATTCCCATGGGAGCTTTGTCTCTAAGATCTGAGCTTTTCTCTCTGTCCAAACATCAAAAACTCTAATCCTCAATCCTGCCTTGATTTACTGTGACCTCTTCTTTTATTGCCCCTCCCACCATAATCCATGCAAAATGCAGTTGCCAAGGTCATCTTCCCAGCCCCTCGAACTGACTGCATCACCCTCTGTTTGAATCCCTCCTCTGGCTTCCCACTTCTCTACCACATCAAACTCCAGTCATCTTGTCACCCTGCAGAAGGCTCTCCATATCTCTGGCCCTGTCTATTTTGCTGGCGCTCCATGTCCCCCTCCATTCTGCCAGCGAGGACAACATTGAAATCCTGCTCATCCTACTATCCCACAGTCGTCTCCGCCTTTTCTTCCACTCTGCCCCATAGGCAGCCAAGTTGACACACCAGGCTGCTTCCCTCTTACTGGTCAGACCCCTCCCTCAAGCCTGATGTGTCATGAAGCCTCCAAGAAATGACCCGACTCATCATCAGGAGGCAGGACAGTTGGGGAAAGAACCAAAGTGCGTGCCAGCTGCCACTCCCACCATCCTGCTTGTGTGTTGTGTTCCCTGCCACCACCTTTTGGCTGGTTCTGTCTTGCAGACTCCAAGCTCTTTGGGGCAGGGCCTGGGCCTTCTTACAAGTTTGGAAAGCGCCTAGCACCTCATGGGCACAACTGCAATCTAATGATGGTAATCAGGCAGGGATGTGTACAGACTCGGGAATTAGCTCATTGACCTCAGGGAAGTTTGGTCTGTAGGGTCTTTGGCTCACAGCACTTTGGACATGGCCTGTAGGCTATTTCCATACATGGATGTGAGGGAGGAATATCCTGAAATGCCACCAATAGCGCAGGGGCCCTAATTCACAATTTTGTCCTTCTTTTCACCATCTCTGTGATGGTCTCTGGCTATTCCACTTCTCATCACTTCCTTCTAGCCCTGCAGAGAATAGCTTTATTTCAGGTTCTATTCAATGTCACACAGAGGCGTCAGCTGCAGAGGTTCACGGCTGGATAGCAGCCCTAGCAGTGGCAGCTCTAGGCCAGATAGTTAATCGGGACACTGTAGCCACCCTTATCTGCATGCAGACACCGATCACTGTGCCCAACGCTAAGGCTAGGAGCCATAATACACTAAGAGAGTCTGAGCCTGTCCCCCTCCACCGGCTGCTCCACATAAGAGATTTACAGGTCTGCTATTGCTTCCCACTAGAGGATTTAGTCCTTTTGCTCGAGCTATGAAGGCTCTTTTCTTTTTCTTTTTTTTTCAGGTCTAACAGCCCCCACTTTCAACCCTACTGTAAGCCTCGGTGTGGGTTAGCTACATGAGCTCAGTACCTAAAGGCACTTTTGCAAGTGTCCCTAACATATCTGCTGAAGTTGCTGGGTTGCTTAAGTTCTGGCACTTTAATGACGGGCATGTTGCTTTGGAGACCCCCTCGTGGGTCTGGGGCACTGGAGCAGTAGCTCATCCCCAATTCCCTCACATGGATCCTTCCCCTGGAAGACAGAAGCAACAAAGTGAGAAG